CGTACGCAGTCAGATTGACAAAGTAGGCGCGTCGAGCTCAATATTCGTCGATCAAAAATCCTAGAATCCAAGGATCCTTCAATTCGAAGATTCAGCGATCAAAGAAATCGAAGCAAACAAATCTAATCTTCCAGGGATAAAACCACATAACGTGTCCTTTTCAGAAACACCTTTTTGAGGAGGGAGAACAGAAGAGCAAGCATTAAAATGATGAAATCTGCCACAGTTGTTAAGTACTTATGTTCTGCAACAAGAAGTAAGATTTTAAGAATCCAAAAAAATGAAGAGATTTTAAAGCAATTTTAATCGCATTCCTAAAGCTCAAAATCTCCTATAATTCCAAAAAGATGCTAGACTCATGAAATCTCAAATTTCCGAAGTTATTCCAAGGTGTCGCAACTCGAAACTTTTCTTGTTCTGAAACTCTTTGATCTTTGAGAGCTTTAACATTCCTATCAGAATTTCGTTCGGATAATTTTCGGTATCAAAATACTGATACTTTTCAATTCCAGATCTTCGAGGAATTAAGGAATCTTAACAAAACTAAGATTTGGAGCATTAAAAGATTCAGCAACTTTAACAATCCTGTGTTTTTTACTTTGTTCTTAAGATCCATCCGCTAAACAAGAACAAAGCTGAGATATTAGCAATCCAGAAATATGAACCTTCAAAAATGCAAGGATCCAAGAACACGAGCATCCCGATCCAGGAACCACGAATATATCCCATTTCGTTGAACATTATTGACTATCGTTCTTTTTTTTTTTCATAAAAAACACCAGAGATTTTACGACAATTAACGATGTCCGAAATCAATCCACGGATCATATTCGAGTACGTACCTAGAGTACGCGAATCTAAACGAGTCGATTGGGATTTTTCTGTAAATTGGGACTTTCGCGTCCCAGTATTTCGTACACTGTGTGTGCGTGACGAGTTGTTAATTATTTTATAAAAGCGAGTCTCGCGAGTGAATAATCGCCACGCGGCAACAATTAACAATCATTAATTAATAGCGTTCCTGCGCGAGAGCGTTCCTACATTTATTTACCGATATCGATTCTCTGGCCTGTTCAGAAAGTTTGAATGAAAAGAGCAAAATCTTTAACTGATTGAGATTAGTAGAAATATTCAGAAAGAAATGAAACTTAAGGAAACAAAAAGTCTAAAGATAAGATAATTAATAATAGTTATTAAAACGGTATGATTAGCTATTATATTAGTTTGTTATTAAGAAACAAAGTCAATGAAATAAATGCTCTTTAAGAAATTAATGAAATCTTATACTAGCTGTCTTTCTTTCTAACTGAGACCAGAGAATTATCTTCTCTTTTTCTTTCATTTTTTTAAAATCATTGTCTCTTTCTATTTCTTTCTCGATAATTACATGATATACGGTGGTATGTGCAGAGTAATCTGGAGGCTCGCAAAATTGCTACACGCTGCTAATAAAATATATCATATGCCCCAACAGCGTGCGCCAATCTCGTTAGTTTAATAATTATTAATCGGGCATGCTGATCAAAAAACGTCCTCCGATACCACAAAGGGTTGCTTCAGAATACAACAATATGTTATATCCTTAATTCATTATGCGTAAGATGATTCAGCTTTCAACCAGTATCGTCTGACTCCGCGAAACAATAGGTTCTTCAGGCTCTGAATTACAAATTCGAACATTTTAGCTTGTTTTTGTCCAAGGAAAAAGTTACACTCAAAAATTCAAAATAAAAAGAACAAAAGTTTTAGAATTAGAACTTCTAATCTCAGGACTCAAGAATCCTGAATTTTGAAGAACATAATGCTCCAAGAAACATAAGCTCGAAACTTAAAATTCTTTAAGTCCGCCCAATCATGAAATCAAGTAAGGGAAACGAAGTAAGTTACTGGTTGAAGGATGAAGCATTAGCAAAAAGTAGCATAAACATTATTGTTCGGAGTGATAGGAGGTGACGCGGCGCAGTAATTTGGTTGCTTGTAACTAAAATAGCAGGTACAACTGAATTTGGGGATTAGTTTCGATGGCGGCCATCCTGCGCGAACGGTGCGCAGAGACAAGACCACTCAGTGGCCAATTGCATAAACATCAAACAACAATGTATCATATAATTATTCGTTGGTTCAACAACAAATCACTTTCGATATATATATAAAAATAAGGTATCAAACTTTGCATCGAGGTACACAGCCATCTTGACTACGTGCTTAATTTACGTTGTCCTCTAAAAGCCATCTGCATGTCTTCAAGGATCCAGCGTTCAAACTTTGCCAGAGGTCTCTGGATTCTGAACTTCGACCGGAGTCGAAGAAGTTAAATACTTAATATTTGCAGAGGACACTCAAAAATTGGAATTCACGAACTTAGGTTAGAAGGACGAAGGATATATCAGAGTTCAAGAATGTAGTGGTATCCGAGAAAAAGATCTCTAAGTAGAATAAGTAGAATACATTTTAGAATATGTTCTATACATAGAGAAAAGTCTCTATAAATATATTAGAATGTATCTTGAAATGTATGAGAAAAATTCCAAATGTATTAGAATATCTAAGACTTGAATTAGAATTTTAGGGCAAGAATCTTCTGGAGTGAAGAACTCCGGAGAAAATCAATGGTCTGAGAATTTTTAGAAGTTAAAATTTGTCATTCGAGTCCAATGTAACAATATTTAGAACTCGAAACATTCAAGATCAAAGTTCTGTGGACTCAGAAGTCCTATATAAGTTCCAGATATCCGGAAGCCATTGATGATTCAGACTTTTAAGAATCCAGAGATCTCAAAGCTCGTTTGAATTTTTATAAGATCATCGGAGCATGAGATACTTATTTTTAACGCTACGATTAGTTGTATCGGGGAGAGAGAGAGAGAGAGAGAGAGAGAGAGAGAGAGAGAGAGAAATAGAGTGTCCAAGATTGGTTTAGTTCCTGTAAGTGAAGCTGTTTTATAGATAAATAGACATTCTTAGCTTGTTCTAATTTGTCTTTCTCTCTCTGTCTTATTTCTTTGCTTCGTTTCTCTCTTTTTCTTTTGTAATTTCCCGTTCCCGAAACAAAGGGCACGACAATTTGTTCGTTATGCCAGAGCACATAAAAAACGGCTTAATTTTTATGCAAAAGGCCTTACAAATTTCCTTCCTATTAGAGCATATCGCGCGTTTTTATTTCCTGGGTATTTTTTCTGCGTATGTGTAATCACGCGAACTATATATAAATAAATTATAAATTAGTAGATCTGATATATAGTCTTAATCCACCCCCTTCTATATGTTTCGTGCATTTCGGAAAAAAGCATTTATAATGTTGCTACAATAATACTCGCATAAGAGGATTATTATTTATTCTCAGTTATAGAGTAGAGGGATTCGTGAACCATCAACACGATGGTTAACATCTAGAATCGATATTATAACGTGTACGCTCTGTTAACGTTGCTAATACTACATATAGAATTTGAAAAACTGAAATGTGCCGATCAATGCATTTCTTAATTAATACATTAATTATTTCTGCCAATTTAACAATTTAAATCCATTTAATTCGTCAAGCTTCTTAAGTAAAAAAGAGAACAACAAAAAATAGATGTTTATATACATGCCATAAATAAAATAATTAATATAAAATAATCTCATGTGATTTATATAAATAAACAATTTAGTACATACATTTATAAAGTAATAACTTTTTCAATTTAATAATTTTTATATTTTTTTTATATACATTTTTTATGCTTTTAATAATTCGATATCAAATAAAAAAAAATGCCAAATTTTTGGAAGTGAGATTTGAAAGTTTGCCTATGTAATTGCGACAATTATTTTATAATTTAATACAATAACAAAAGCAATAACACACCCTATATTCAATCTCGAGTTTCTTGTGCGCTTCCAAGTTTTGGCAGTGACGCGAGTTATCATGCGTCTTAATATCTCAACATTGAACTCAAATTGTTAAATCGACTGGGCACTATTCCAGAAAAAATAAATGAAAAAGAAAATGAGAATAAGTATTACATTAAAAATAATATGATAGACTGCCGACATTAAGGTGTCGGTGTTAACGGGAAATAAAAAATCAAGGTTGTTATTTCATTCAAACAAAAGGCACGTTTTTATACTCGAATCTTTTTCGAGTTAAAAAAAAGAGTATAAAAAAGTCTAGATAATTTCTTTTATTAACAAAGTTAATTTCTTCTTAGAAGGTGTTAAAATTTCCAAAGCATAAATCCTGAGATTGCAATTGTTTGAAGCGCTGTGCGCGAATGTAACTCAGAAAATATAGCAAATTACAAAATAAAACTTTGCTTCTAAGCTGTGTTCGGAGAGCGCGCTTTATAAGTCTTTATGTGTATAATCTCCACATGCCAAGAATGTACTGGCTCAAAAAGATGCAAAACCATGAGTTTAGAGCATCATTTTCATCAATAATGCTAATCATTAAGAGATTATATCGTGTTCATATTTGAACACAGATTTGTAAAGATAAAATCATTGAAAAGTAAAATCATTCAAAGATTGATCTTCATATGTACATTCTTATGCGCGCATTTTATTTTATCATATTCAAGAGTGTGATCACATCTGTGTTGTAAAAATAAAAATTTGCGTTTTACTACGTTCTTGCTTAGAGCGTGGAATTTTTAAATTTAAAAAATTCTACACTCTCTTCTTTTGCATACAGTTCTTGATGCTCGCAAACTTGCACGCGTCTTGTTTACAAGTACATATTAATTACAATATTGCCTTTTAACAGAGAAGATGAAGGGATAGGATTGTAGATGTAAAGATCACTCATCAGCACTGTTGCATGATTCCATCCTTTATGTTCATTGTTTTGAACAATAAAGATAGAATGACACAATAGTAATGATACGCGCGCTCTCGGAACGCAGCCTTAATTTATCTTTATCGACAGTCTATCATAATAAATTGGATTCATTATTCAACGTAAGAGCGATTGAATAAAGCCCGATAGGCGGGACATACTTACTTTTCATTTAGCCCGTACCCCGATGGTCTTGCATCGTGGAAGGCGTCACTGCTGCACCGGCGTGGGTGGATACGGATAGCCGTACGGCGGCACTGCCTGAAACTGGCCGTAGCCCATCGATTGGTATGCGCAGGCACCAGCGTTGGGCGGCGGTCGGTTGGTCTGGAAAAACTTGTTGTTCACAAGATTTTGAATCCCAGAGTCCGCGTGTCCACTAGACGGCATCATGAACGGCGGCGGCATTGAGTAAACATTGGGCCCGCTCTGATTGCCGCTGAAGCCATTCTGCCTATTTTGGAAACGATTACCCTGGTATCCAGTCCTGCCTTGGTATCTGGGCGCACTAGTAGCGCCCTGATGTGTAGGTTGACATGTGTTGTTAGTCGCCTGGTAGCTGTTCTGATAGCCAGTAATGGATTGTCGTTGCTGGTGCTGCTGCTGATAGGAATGTTGTGGTTGATAATTGTTCTGCCGATTAACTTGATAGCCATTGTTGCGCTGATGACCACGTGCCACGGTTTTCTCCTGAACCATTTGGTTGTGATGTTGTTGTTGATTCGCCTGCAACATATGCTGCCAATTGTTTATTGTCGGGCTAATGTTGTTTCTAGGACTTCCGTGAGAAATGTTATCCTTGTTGCCTCCACGTACGTGGCTCCACCGTTGCCGTCCCTTGCCGTATTGATTCCTGACAGAATTCGCCATGTCCGCCAATTGTGGGTTTATAGCTTGACCGGCCTCCTCTAGCACTGCGATCAACTCCTTCGCCTGTCTTGCATTATTCGGTGTGAAGTAAGCATAGGCAGTGCCTGCGCTCTGGCAGCGACCGGTTCTGCCGATCCTGTGGATGTAGTCCTCGGAGCTGTTGGGGTAATCAAAGTTGATAACGTACTTTACGTCCTCGACATCCAAGCCGCGTGCTGCTACATCTGTCGCGACCAAGATCATAGTTTTCCCGTTGCGAAATTCCGATAGAACGTAATCGCGCTCCGGCTGTGATTTGTCGCCGTGGATTGAGATTGCAGACCAGCCTTCCCGTTTAATTGTCTTCGTTATATCGTCCACCTTCTTCTTCGTTTCCACGAAAATGATCATTTTGCTGCCGCGTTCGGTCCCAATTTCGCGTAACAATTGTGATAGTTTCATTTCCTTCTCATGTTCTTGGCAGATCTCAACAATCTGCCGAATGTTGTGATTGGCCGCCAAAGTCAAGGACCCGATATTAATCTGGATATAATCACTGAGAAAATCCTCGGCGAGCGCTTGCACTTCTTTGGGCCAAGTGGCGGACCACATGAGAACTTGCCGATCAGGTCGAATCTGCTCGATGATTTTGCGTATCTGTGGTTCGAAACCCATATCCAGCATTCGATCAGCCTCATCCAAAACCAGATATGTGCACCTGCGCAGATTTGTGGTACCTTTCTCGAGGAAATCGATCAGTCTACCAGGTGTTGCGATACAGATCTCCACACCGCGTTCAAGATCACGAGCTTGAGGCCCCTTCGGCGAGCCGCCGAAGATGCAGGTGTTGCGAATGCATGAGGACGAGCCGAAATCACGTGCAACAGTTTGGATTTGTTGAGCCAATTCGCGCGTGGGAGCGAGAATCAGAACAATTGGTCCGTCACCTCGACTGAGACGAGGCTGATGATTGATGTGCACCGTCGCCGGAAGGATATACTAAAATGAAAAAAAAAAAAAAAACAATGAAAATAAACAAATATGCATCTAAAAAATGCATCTAAAAATCTGCATCTGCGCTTTTTGTTAAAATATTTGATGTTTTGATTATTTACATTGAGTGCATTTATAATGACAATCGCTCACTAATCGCTCAGTGATTCCTGCACTCTTTGAACTACTGCACACAATACAATAAGTTGAAGTGAAACAAGTATACGTTTGCACAATGTGTACCAGTTTAGAGAATGTAGGAATAAAGACCAGACCTAAAGTTTTCTATCTACACCTTTCTTGATTAATTAAACGATTGAGTAACCGATTCTGAATAGTTTTACTCAAATTATGTTATATCAATTTTTACAATTTAATTAATTCAATTAATCGATGTTATACTTACAGCCAAAGTTTTCCCGGAACCAGTTTGAGCAATTCCGACTAAATCTCGTCCGCTGAGTGCAATTGGCCAGCCCTGAGCTTGAATTGCAGTGGGTTCGGCAAAACCTTGCTTCCTGATCTCTTCCATCACGTAATCTGGAAAGTTGCTTTCTTCGAAGGCTTGAATGGGAGAAGGCGTATTGTTGCCTTTAACAGTAATCTCCTTGCCCGCATGATACTTGCTGATCTCGTCAGGTGTTCGGTTCAAGATGTTAACGTGAGGAACGTACAAATTCTTCGTTATCTTGGGCAAATTTGCCAAATCCCAACTAGGCTTCTTCAGTAAATCGCCCGGAGTCTTCTTGTGATTTTGTTGCTTCTTTGTGCCAAACTCTTTTTGACTCTGTTGTTGACTGTTCCAATAAGTTCCGCCAACCCCTCCATTACGGTTGCCATGATCTCGATTTCCTCTAGATCTGTAACTAAGAATTAAAACCTTCATCAAAAAGCAGTACATAAAAAAAATCTTTTTAGATTAACTTATTATTTAAATCATTTCTCGTACAAATATCTTTTTATTTGTTCAACTGATTAACACTGATTCTACAACTCAGGAGTGCGCTCTAAAACATAACATTACAATAAGTAAAACTCTATAATTAGACTAAACTTTAGAATTTATATACGGAAGGAAGATAAAATGAAGCTTACAGGACTAGAATGTTAAACTTAAGCTTTAAGTATAAAAAAAATTGATCAATCATGGTCCATTCTTCTTTTCATATTTGACTGTGGCTGCGTTCGATTTGAATGTTCACACGCTTTAAACGTTTATAATTATTGTGATATTTCGTGCTAGTTATTTTATCATTTTAGTTTTAGTTACTAGAGCGTGACGCGCTCTTCTCTCCCCAATTTCGTTCACTGGATATATAATATTTATTTCCTGTTCTCTATTGTAACGAACTATGTACCCCTGCACGTGCATTCTTGTATAAATTTTTTGTATTTGATAATCTGAACACTAAACATTCGGATCTTAATTTATTTCTGAAAACATTACAATTATTATTCTGTCTTTATAGTTCATTAGACATAAAATAAAGATAGAAGTGCTGAAAGTGCTGAATTTCTTATGGCTTAAGATTTAAATATTGCTGGTATTACCCCGGATCTACAATCTAGATTTTTAAATCTTAAGCCATAAGAAATGAATTATAGGCATGGTTTAAATCGAGGATTTAATCCGGATCAGAATGTAAGAACCAACCAACTACAGTCGAGCGACAGGGGAACTGTTGATTGGTTTCTATATTCTGATCTGGCTTAACCCTCAGTGGAAACTAGAGGTTGAGGCACGCGTCGCGTGCTCCAACATGTTGTAATATGCTCCTACCAGCATAATAGCTCTTATTCATTTCAACGCGCTTGATACAGTAGGAGCTGTGGTAGGAGTATATTGGAGCATGTTGGAGTTTGCGATGCGAATAAATCTTAGGCCAATTATTCTCCTCGTATTCGACTGTAATTGATCAATTTCTTACAGCTTAAAGCTTAAAACACTTATTATGTAGATGGGAATCGATTCTGTATCTTGAAACGAGGTGAAAATTACAAAAGTGAGCGAATTTATTAGAATACTGATAATTTCAACACCTAACAAATTTGCTTTACTTTTGTAATTTTCATCTTGTTTGAAGATACAGAATCGACTCCCTAGACTTGTTTGTCGTACGACAAAGATTTTAAGTTCATTGACTGACTATAGAATGGAGAGATCTAATTTTTTTTCTTGTGTTTTCTAATCAAGACTTGAAATACTTGAAAAAAAAATGATTTATCGTACGATAAATTTAATATTAGGGTGAAATCACACGATATGGAAATCAGCATGCGAGATAGAGGATACGTGATTCGAACAGTCAATCGGCTCTCTTCCGCATTTTTCTATTCCACATGTCTTTATCACGATAAGGCTTATTCTATAATAAAGTCATAAGCGGTAAGTTGTAAGAAATTAACCAATTATAGTCGATTATTCTTCTCACACTTAACTGCAATTGGCCAATTTCTTATGGCTTACAATTTGCGACTCTATTGTAGAACAGGCATAAGACCGTTATTTCATTTGCACGTTTATGTCATACGACAAATTTTTCAAGGCTATTGATTGGTTACAAGATAGAGAGATCCAAGAACCTCTCTATCCTATGTACATTTGTCGACGAAAACGCACAAATGAAATAGCGGCCTAAGGTTATCGATCAGGGTATCATATAACTTTTTCTCTAGAAAACGGAACATGAAAAATTTTTATGTATATATATATATA